TTTCTGTCCTTTGAGCTAGAAGATTTTCAGTCTTCTGGTTTCTATCTCGTGGGTTCACGCTGCTTTTTGATTTTATCAGCTGTGTTCCGTGCACTCCTGGTGAGAAGGAGCAGAGTCACACTGCATGGGTTTCAATGGCTGATTTTTCAGTCCCTCATCAAGTCTTTCTCCAGAGAAACCTCTTGGTGGACTTGAACCTCCCAACTTTGTTAGCAGCTGGGCACGTTGACCCTTCGTACCACGCAGAGACCCTTGTTCATTTTTTTGTGCAGGTGGGTGGGCTGTGCTTCCTTCTCCAGCTCCAGTGAGAGGCAAGGCCTTAGAAGGAGTCTGCAGGGTCCTCTCTCACCTCCCTGCTTCTCCTCGGCTTCGTTTAATCGATCCTCCACCCTTTTCAAGGATAATTCCTACAAATTCGGAGGCAGCCAGTCCCCAGATTCAACTGCTAAAATACTTCTTCTTATCCGCCATCAAGTTGGTTCTTGACCACTCATGGTAACCCCAGGCACAACAGAATAAACCAGTGCCCAGTCCTGGGCCACCCCCGTGACCGGCTGTGGACTGGACCACTGTGGTCTGTAGGGATCTCACTGGCTCATTTCTGGAAGGAGACTGCCAGGCCTTCCTTCCTAGTCTGTCGTTATCTGGAAGCACCTCTGAAACCTAATACTCAGTATCCTAGCAACACACACGCCTCCCCCGACAGACAAATGGCGGGTGTGTGAGGTGCACTGGCCTGGAATTGAACCCGGGGCGCCCGTGTGGAAGGCAAGGCTGCTAGCACTGACCCACCACCGCCCCCGTGCTAAAATGGTTAGCCTTAAAAAAAATGGTTAGGCTTGCTCGATATCACTGTTTACTCCTCAAATGAGCAAAGATGAGCAGAGCCAGCTTGTAGTGTGACCTTAAATCCACAGCCTTCTGTCTGGTGTTTGAAATATGACAAAATGAACATTAAAAAAAGGTGGGTCCTGGCATATGCCCTCTGGAGACTCATGCTTAACAGAGGCCGAGGGCTGCAGGAGGCCCCCCGCAGGTCAAGGCTCTTGCTTAGGACTTGGTGGAGGGCAGGTGGCAAACGCCTGTGGGGAAGAACTCTGAGGAAGTAACCAGTTAGAGCCTGAAACCTTGTCCAGGCTGCCTGCCTCTCTTCC